TCCAAGGCCCCGGGCCGGCGCCTGAGCCCCCGCAGGCCAGAGCCCCTGGCCGCGCCCTGGGCCACCGCCACCCGCCTCCTGACAGGCTGGGCCTGGCAGTCAGGACTACCAGCCTCACCCCTTCTTCCCTTCTCCTAGAAAAGTCCGAGCCTCACTCTGGCCCAGGCCTCTCTGGTCCTTGAGAGGACCTCCCAGCCGGGGCGCAGAGGAGGGTGGGGAGGAGCTGCAAGGGGCAGGCGGGCCTTACCTTACGTGTCGCCTTCTGACCCGCAGATTGCCAGCGAGCCTCCGCCCGTGCAGGAGATCCCCCCCTCTTGCGCCCCGCTCACCGCCCAGGCCATCCAGGAGGGGCTGCGCAAGGAGCCTGCCCTGCGAGCGTCGGCGCTGGAGCTGGGGGGCACGGTCAGCCTGGCGCTGCAGCACGGTGAGAGCCCAGCTCGGCCCCGCAGCCGGGACAGATGGACAGTGGAGTGGCCACGGCGAGGTCTGGCCTCTCGGTCCTTCGTTTCCCACGACAGCACAGGGGCGACACCAACGTCAGACCCGACAGCAAGGTCTAGGCAGAGAAGGGGGGTGGGCTGTGTGATACAGAAAGAGGGGCTCGAACCCCTTAGTAACAGAGTTTGGGATCAAGCTAGCTGTTGTTCTACAGTCACTGAGTGGGAAAAACAAAGTGTCAGGGGGGTGTGGGCAGTGGCCTCGGGGCACTGAGGGCAGGCGCCTGGCAGCGCTCGGGCGGACACGGGCGACCCGGGGCCCAGGCCGCTGAGGGCGCGCGGCGGAAGGCGTGCTGGCCACACCCACGGGACACCCCCAGAACACGCACTGCGGTGGCCTTCGTGGGAAGGAGTGGGTGGTCAGGTGCCCTCCCCGGGGGAGTGGAGAGGCCAAAGGCGGGGTCCCCGTGGAGCACCCCACAGCAGCTAGAGCAACTCCATGTTCACAGAGGAGCAGCCAGCTGGGTCAGGAGCGTAGCGCTGGGCCTGCAGCACAGTGGCTCTGTGTAAACCAATAAAAATAACGCACGGCGGCGCCTCGCCTGAAGCCCATCCAGCACAAAGTAACATGTCAAACGTAATGCAGTGTCACCCCGGGACAGGCGGGGAGAGGCCATGGTTATGGAAATGAAAAAGGAGTGAAAGCAGGACAAGACCTGCACAGCCCCTCCACCAGGCTGACGTGCACCCCAATCCAGAAAAAAGGTGGCCCTGAGGAAGCACGGACTGGGGAGAGAGGAGTGGGGGAGAAAGGTCAGGGAGGCCGGTTACCCGGGAACCCCAAGTTGGTGTTACCCCCAGAACTGTTCTTAAGCCTTCTCTTTACTGTTAACAAAGTCCCTGCGGAGCCAAATGTGTAATTTCTTAATTTTGCTGCTGTCACTGAGAAGGTTCATGGACCAGAAGGGATCTGTACAAGACCCTCACAGGAGGCAGTCTCGCGGGAGAGGACGGCCCACGCCTGCCCTCTAAGTCAGGCCCCTGGGGGTGAGCCTGCCCCCTCAGCGCCCCCAGCGCCCCGCGCAGGCAGACCCCCGCCCACCCCAGGGCGGCCTGGTGTCTGTGCGGTCCCGCCGGCCTCACCGTGTGCTGTGTGCCGTCTGTTTTGCAGTGGGAGGCCTGAGGAGCCCGTGGAGGGGAGAGTATAAAGAACCAAGACATCGGCCGCCTCACCAAGGCCGAGCACCACCAAGCCAAGGCCACTGTCCCCGGACCCAGCCGCGGGAGCTCTCCCCGGGGTCCCCGAGGCCCCAGCCAGCCAAGGACACCGGCGGGGCCCCTCAGCTGCAGCCTCCTCTGCCCCCAGACCCCCCGGAGCGGAACAAGTCTCCCAGCCTGAACTGGGGCAAGGAGGAGTCTGGGACTTGGGAAGCCTTGCCTCTGTCCTCCCTGGACCCGGCCCCCGCCAAAAACCCCAGCTGCCCAGAGCGGAGAGCGACCTTCCCCGAGCAGGAACTACAGCAGCTGGAAATAGGTACTGGCCACCGTGCTGCGGCCTGGGCCCTTCCCAGCCAGGGGCCTCCTCCAGCCCCTTCCGCAGGCTCAGCCCTGCAGTCTGTGGGGAAAACCCCGACAGCACAGCTGGACCCCGCCTGTCTTTTACAGTCACCTTCCTTTCTCTGCAGAATTATTCCTGAACAGCCTGTCCCAGCCATTTTCCCTGGAGGAGCAGGAGCAAATTCTCTCGTGCCTCAGCATCGACAGCCTCTCCCTGTCAGACGACAGTGAGAAGGTGAGTGGCCAGGTGCCAGGACTCAGCAGGGGCTCCATCCAGTCGTGCTGGGGGGTGAGCTGTGTATATATCATGGGTGAGAGGAGGGTTTTGGGGCCACTCCTCTCTCCCCGGAGGGGTCTTCACCCCAGCAGTGTGAGAAGTACATCTTCAGCAGCATGGAGTTAGGGAGTGGTTTGGCTTCTAGGAGTAGAGGAGGAGAAGGAGGCTTGGGCTTGGGTCCCCTAGAATTACCCTGCACCCTCTCCAGCCTAGGGACCCTCATGAACTTATCCCTCACAAGCCCAGCAGCACCAAGCTCCAGCCTCAGCCCAGGGGAGGGCCCAGGGCCTCTTTGCCCCAAATGAGGCCCTGAGCCCAGGTCCTGAGTCTGCCACCCTGTTGTTTCAGAACCCCTCAAAGGCTTCTCAGAGCTCAAGGGACACCCTGAGTTCCGGTGTGCACTCCTGGAACAGCCAGGCAGAGGCTCGAAGCTCCAGCTGGAACATGGTGCTAGCCCGGGGGCGGCCCACCGACACCCCAAGCTACTTCAATGGTAAAGTCCAGCACGCGCCTGGCCCCCACAGTACCCAATCCACCTAGAACTAGGGCGTCTGAAGGTTTACTGCCCCTCCCCTGGCCCCTGGCGCCCAGATCTTGAGGCACCTGGCTAGTGAGTCAGCTTAGAGCACAGGCCAAGGTCACCCAGAGCCTTTCCTGGTGGGGCACTGGGGTGCTGATGAGGTCCCCGAGGCTGGATCTCTGTCGGTCTGGAGTCAAGAAGCTGAATGATTTCTGAAGAGAAACAGGAACAAGCCTTCAGGAGCATGTTAGCCGCCAACTCAGCCACAGCTGCGCTGGCTTCCCGGGAACTGAAGTCAAACTGAGTAAGACAACACAGGTGGAGCTCGGTTTCCAGCACTGTTAGCGAGGGGTGGCACCCCAGCTCAGGAACGTGACATCTGCGATGCCCGCAGTCCCACTGAAGAGCCTGTTTCCAGTCCCTTCTGCTCCCTGTGCAAGTTGGAACACTTCCCCAGAGAAGCCAGCTGTAGCTTTTTGCAGTGTGCAGGCGCAATTCCACGCAGGTGGAAAGTGGCAGGAAGAGCTGAGGAGGAGGTGTGTGACACGAGGGTCACGCCCCCCCAAATGTCAGCTGGCACTTCCGGGGCTCCATGGGAGACCGCAGCCGTCCTGCAGGCACCTGTCCTGACGGGCCCTTGCCTGCCTTCTAGGTGTGAAGGTCCAAATCCAGTCTCTCAATGGCGAGCACCTGCACATCCGCGAATTCCATCGGGCCAAGGTGGGAGACATCGCAACTGGCATCAGTGGCCAGGTAAGGGGACAGGGATGTGCCTCAGCACAGTTCCCGAAGCCAGTGACCCAGCCTTCCATGGGGGAGGTTTTGAAAAAGTGGAAATGCACCTAGGGAAGAAGAACGCACCTTCCGTGCCCCCTGGGGCTGCAAGGGGGCCTCAACGCCCATGCTTGGGCCAGGTGAGACTCTAAGCCCCCCAGAATCAAAGGCAGATAGCTGACCCCTGACTGCCTACGTATCTGAAGCGGGGTACCCCAGGGGAGACTCTTAGCTGTACCCGGAGTAGCTTCTGAGCCCACTGGTGTGCCCTGTCCCAGATCCCAGCCGCAGCCTTCAGCCTGGTGACCAAGGACGGGCAGCCCGTTTGCTATGACATGGAGGTGCCAGACTCGGGCATCGACCTGCAGTGCACCCTGGCCCCTGACGGCAGCTTCGCCTGGAACTGGAGGGTCAAGCACGGCCAGCTGGAGAACAGGCCCTAACCCCGCCGCCACGCGGGCTCCGCTCTGCCAGAGGAGCCTTCCTTCTCGGCGTTCACACGGCCGCTCAGACCAGGCTCAGCTGCTGCTGGGGACCTGCTGCCCCCGCCTCGGCGGAAAGCCCGGGGCGGCCAGCAGCGAAGTGGGGGCTCGCAGAACACCTGCCAGGCCTTCCCACCTGGGTTCTGCCCAACCCCGCCAAGAACGTCCTGTGCCTACATGAGGAGGAGCAGGGAGGCAGGAGGCCTCTCCTGTGGGAGGCCAGAGCGCCTTCTCCGCTCTGGTCCAGACAGGCTGGCCTGACTGCGGAGGCAGCCTCTGGCCCCCGCCACGGGGATGACGAGCCCCTGGGCCTCCAGGCAGACGTGAGGGTGTTGTCAAAGGTCTGGCCCAGGTACAGGAGCCCGCCCTTGAGTCAGTGTGTCCGATCCGCTTGCCTGGCATGGGGCTCCCTCCTTGAGATCTAAAGCTTCAGACAGTGTCAGGGGAAGGATGGCCCACACAGGGAAGTCTCCCTGGGAGCGCACACCCCACTTTTCCGGTTGTGACAGTACAGGTGCTGAGCCTGGCTTCAGCCGAGGCCCACAGCAGGCAGGCGTTCAGTGAGATGGTTCTCAGCCCCCAGGCACACGCCCCGGCTGCCGGCCCCTCTCCCCAGCCCCTGCACAACTGGCTGGCGCTCACACCGCATCTGCAGAGACGAGGGCGCCGTGAGGCCGGCCTGCGGGAGCCGCCAGGATGGGGCTGGCGAGGGGAATGAAGCAGCAGACGGCGGTGTCAGGGTTGCCCGCGTCAGCTTCCCCATCAGGCCATGCCAGCTCCCCGAGACCCAGTTGGGGTCACGCTTCCCCACCCCGCCTGTCCTGGGGGGCACTGCCAGCCGCACTTTGCACTCTGATGACCTCAAAGCACTTTGATGGCCGCCCTCTGGGAGGGCCGGTCAGTGGCACTGCCTGACCACAAGCATGACCACTGTCATGGGGTCAACAGACTTAAGTGTTGACCTATCTCCGCACATGTGACCCCCCAAACCTCCAAGTTTAAGGTAATTCTCCCCCAAGCCCCCACCACTGTCCCGGCCCTGCCTGTTTGGGAGGAGATGATCAGAACTCATGTAGCATTAAATCAACTGTGAATCATTCAGGGCTGCTGGCCGTAACTTCTGGGTGAAAGTGTCCACTGAAATTGCTCCTTGGGAGAAGCTGGTGCCCACATCTTGCCAAGGCAGCGGCTGTCCAGCTGTTCATCCTGCTCCCCAGGGAGAGACCCTACCCCCAGCACGCGGAGAACTGCGGCCTTGGTACCGCAGAGCTCCTTGTAGAGAACTCTGTAAGCAATAAAGTTTGGGGTGATACGTGTTTCTCAGTCTGGGCTGTCTCCACTCTCGCCCATGCTTGCTGAACCCCAAGTCCCTACCAGCTGCCTCCATTTGTCTTCTGGGTGTGCACTTGTCAAGTTGGCCTTTTATTTCAGCCAAGAACTGTTTTCCGCCCTGGAGAGGGGCTGCTTTCCCATCAGGCCTCCCGGGGTTCACCCAGCCCGCTTGTGGACTATGGCACTATGGCGTCGGGGCAGTGAAGCGGGATCCTTCGCTGGGGGGAGGGGTCTGGGACCGCGGAGCCTGCACGCAGCCCGCCCTGAGGCCCCTGAGGCCCGTGGGCAGGCTGGCTGCTCAGGAGTGGCTTCCTGGCCGAGGCCGGCTGAGAATAGGGGTCCCCGCAGCGCAGCCCCCTCTCATCCCACCCAAAGCTGTGCGTGAACACACGTGTACACCTTGGGGTGCAGGCTACAGATTCTCCTGGCTCTTAGAGAAGTCCTGGGCACACACGGGGCAGCGACCTTGTGCCGGAGGGCCCAGGGCAGAAGCAAAATCTGCTTCGCCCGAGGGTGCGAGGTTTATGGCCTGGTCTGGCAGGCCTGGCCCTGGCAGGGAGCCTCCGCTGGTAAGAGGGGCCCGACCTTTCCGGGCGCCCCGCCAAGGGGGCCCTGAGCGCTGTTCCCTGACCGGCCGTCACGGCAGGGCCCGCAAGGACGTCACAGAGGCAGCGACATCACAGGCGCCAGCGCCCCAAGATTTCCCCGCCCGCCGATCCCCAATCAAAGAGCGAGCGCACTGGAAGCCGAGGGGCAGCAGCCGCGTCCGCTCCCAGCCTCGCGACAGCGCCTCGGTCTGCAGGGCTGCATGGGGCTAACAGGTGGGAGCCGGGCCAGGAGCGCGCAGGGCCAGGGCGGCGGGAGCAGAGAACCTGAGACGGGATCGCCGGGAGGGGACGCCGGCCCCTCGCCCGGCCTCGCCTCGGAGCCCGGAGGTGGGGGGAGGGGCCGGCTGTGGGGGTGCTGCGGCTGCCACGGTCTGGTGAGGGAGGGGTCTCAGCGGGGAGCCAGGGGTGAGGGGGTGTGCCTGAACGGAAAGTTCACTTCAGCCAGCGCCACCATCCTCGGGGAGTGAGGGGTGGGTGAACCCTGATGAGACGCCTGGGTGGGCCATGCTGCTGTGTGTCTGCAGATTCGGGCAGTTCTTTCAGGGCTCTGGGCACACAGGGCAGCGGCCTTGGCCCACGAATTGCCCAAATTAGATGCCCAAAAGTCACAGCCAGCCAGCCCTGGTTAGTGCTTGGCGGTGGGGGGGCGGGGAGAAGGGGGGTCTTGTTTCAAATTTACTGAGCACCTCCTTTGTGCTGTCTCAATAAGCCCAGTTGTTAGCACCAGGGTGCTGGGTCTCCCATGTTTCTAACAATGGGTGCTTAGCTCCCCACTAAAAGAGGTTGTCTCCATACCTTCTCTCCCAGAAGGACTCAGAGCAGTATTAAAAATTATGTCAGGTGAGAAAATAATAAGAATAATGAACAGCCATATACCAGAGACATTTTGTGGGGGTGGAGTGGGGAATGGGATCAAAAAGGGTGACTTGGTGATGGGAAACCCACGGGTATTACAATTGAGATGGGAAAAAAATGTACAAAATGATATAAAAATAAACTGTTATTTTAAAAAATTATGTCAAGAATTAACCAGAGAGGAACGGTTTATCCCTTTTCCCAAATCTGTGGAGTAACAAATGTATGAAGACGCTAACATCACCTTAAATCACCCCCTCAACAAGTATTGCACACACACCCCTTTCTGAGCTTGCCCCCGTGCCAGGTCCTGGATGAGTTGACGCAAAATCAAAATGTAGGTTAGAGAACTTGGGGTGTCACAGAGAATGCTGGAGATTTGAGTGGGACTGTCAGGCTTGAGTAGAAGTTTGTTAGAAGAGATTTTCTCAGTATCAGAAATAACATGCCAAGGTACTGAGGCACAAAAAGGTGTGCCATGCTTCACGTGGCATGGGCCGAGGAAAGGCAGGAAGCCTGGATACAAGAGATGCAAAAAGAAGACAGAGATCAGTACAGATCTTTGAGGTCACCTTAGCGCCTGGATGTGACCAGAAGCAATGTGACCCAGTGGATTCACTCTGGAGTCACTGAGATGCCCAGGTTGGAAGGGAATATGGTCACAGTGGTCCAGCTACAGGGCTAAAGAGACTTCCAGTAGCACAAGAGTTAGCATCATGGAGCTGAGAGCCCCTTAGGCTCTCAAACCATGGCACTGATCTGTGACCTTGTGCAATGTCCTCGTGCATGAAAGGACAGTCCTCCTAGCTGCCTGTGCCTAACGCACCGATGGAGAGTAGGTCCGTGTTTGTGCTAACTTTGGTGCCGGGAGATGAGGACGGAGGTAACGGCGGTACAGAAAGGGATTCACACAGATCAGTGCCAAGTAGGAAAGTCTGAAGCTTCGGGGATAAATGCATGACAAATGACCAGATTGCTGTTTGTGTGATAAGGTGAAGGTGAAAGACGTGTGAGATTGAGTCAGACTTGTATGCGGTGGTCACCCCAGAATGTGGGTATGCAGGAAGTGAACTTGAGGTGAAAGCGGAAGATAAGCTGCAGGGCTGGCGAGCGAGGGAAAGCTTCATTTCTTTTACTGACTTTGGCCTTCACCGGTGCCAGACATTCTGTGGAGGGGATGGGAGACTTGAAGTAAGCAGCCATACCTCTGCCCACCTCTGACTGAGGGTGAACAAGAGGTTGTGCACTCAGAGTCTGCAGTTACAAGGGAGGAGGAGGGCACAGGTCCAGGAGTTGGAGTCCAGGGTGTCTAGGAAGATGTAAGCCCTAAGCACCATCACAGCAGAAAATATTCCAGAGAGAGATTGATGGTGCAGCCATGGCAAAGGGGGCGTAGTATTTTGGACAAGGTGAAGATGAGGTTGCCTCAGAGGAGACTGTAATCACTGACTGGACTCTAACAGCTCCGAAGTGAAAGTAAGAAAGAGATCAGACAAATGAGGTCAACTGTATGGTGGAAGATGACATTAGACCTTGAGTGGTAAGCATGAGGTATCAAATACAGATGTTAATTTATAACGACGCACACCTGTTATAATCCAATGTTACTTCAACCAAAAAAAAAAAAAACCCGAAAAATAATCACTTAAGATATATGAGTTAAAGATCTCCATTTTGGAGCTTCCGTATGACCCAACAATCCCACTCCTAGGTATCTACCCAAAAGACACAGAAACACTGATTCAAAAAGATAAAGCAGCACCTGTTTATTGCTGCTTTATTTACAATTGGAAAGGCATGGAAACAACCCAAATGCCCAAAAGTAGATGACTGGATTAAAAAGATGTGGTACATATACACAATGGAATATTACTCAGCAACCAAAAAAAAATAAATAAACACATGCCTTTTGCAGCAACATGGATGGAGCTGGAAGGGATCATGCTTAGTTGAAATAAGTCAGAAAGAAAAGGAAAAATACTGGATGGTTTCACTCATAGCAGGGGTATAAGAGACCAGGCAAGGAAATAATAATAATAATGAACAGCCATATACCAAAGACATTTCATGGGGGTGGAGTGGGGAATAGGATCAAAAATGGGGGTGGGGGAGGGAAATGCACTGGACTATGGTCATGGCACATGGGTGATTTGGTGATGGGAAGCCCACGGGGATTACAACTGAAATGGAAAAAGGCACAAAATGATGTAAAAATAAACTATTGTATTATTATTATTTTTTTAATCTCCATTTTCCAATCCCAGCAGTAGAGTTTGTTCATCACTGTGTTCTGGCTCATAGCTAGGGCTCAATATATCCTGTAACATTATCCAAGAAATATATGCATGTGTTTAAATAGTACTCAAGGTGTTTATTCAGCAATGAAAGGCAAGACTTCTCACACCGCAACTCCAGTCTCACTCCTCAGAGCAACCACATTTGTTTCATTTGATCTGTTTTTTCTGCCTAGTTACGGCTTTCTCTCTCTAGAGGCTCTTGGTTTATCAGTTGTAGACATCACCATCTTCCTGTTCTAATGGCCCCGGCCTCCACCATCCTCCCAGAATGACTTTCAGATCTGCTATGTGTTTGTAAATTGAATATACGTCGTTTTCTCAACATGAGACAGTATCTTTTGATACCCTACATAGATGAGGGTTTGGGGAAAGGCTCCTGCCTTTCCCTTCAATTTTCTTCTTTGTCTTCCACCTATGACTGTAACCTGTACTTTCACTTGTTAAAGATGATTTGTCTTTTCCCCTTCCCACAATTTTGCTTTCCATATTTTATCTATATATTGATGCTAAGGTTGCAAGTTAATAAACAGGACTTAAATGGTGACTACATTCCACAGCGGCAGGAGAGAGCCCACTATAGCCTCTTCTCTCTTATGTTTTTCCTTGGAACTTTTATCAGTTCTTTTGCTTGTACCTTTTGATTTTATCTTATCTTCATCATCTTCAACCTCTGCATCTAGTCAATTCTGTCAAGTTTTCTGTTTCAGAGATCTGACGCTGAGGGTCCTCCATCCTCTTAACAGGTGTGTATTGAGGTTGGCCTCCATATAATGCACATACTGAGATTTTTTTGTGGATACATGCCTACTATTCACCCCCCACCCAGCCCCGTTTTTCTTGTTTTACATCTTTATTTTGCTTTAGCATGGCCTCAATTTCCAGAGAGAGAGAAGGTAAATTTTCTGAATGTTTCCATGCCTGAAATGATAGTTTGGCTGGATATAAAATGCTGGGTTAATTTGAAACACACCAATTCTTGCTAATTCTGCTACCAGTATGATGCTTTTCCCTTATAGGTGACTGATTTTACACTTTTGAAGAATTTAGGTTCTTTGTTCCTGAGGCAATGAACATTCATAGCAAAGATCTTTTAACATCCAGAAGGCTGGACATTCAATGAACCCCTTTAAGCCAATGTTAGAAACGAGCTCAAGAAAATTGTGCTTGCTTTTCTTCTCCATGTTTCTGTTCTTTTTGAATCTCCTTTCTATCACTCAGTTGGTTTTCTTATTGATCCTTTTCTCTCCTATTGTCTTGATATTTTGGTTCCACTTTCTTGGAAGATTCTGTGTTCTATTTCCCTATCTTATTTCCCAGAATGTTCTTTTCTTTCACCCTTTTTAAATATTAAATAGCATTTGTCCTTGTGTTTGGGGTACAATATCTATATTGTATCTATAAAAGCATTATCTATAAGGGTTTTTCTTTAAGTTCCCTCTTTTCCAAACTACCTCTGGCACTCTGGAGTCATCTCTTCTTTTGATCTGTTACTTAAATATTGACAATGTCCTTAAAGGTCTGGTGATGGTTGGTTATCTGTGTTTAAGAGTGAAATTATAAAAACTGCCTGTGCTTGCAGAACTATTGCCTGGCAGATGCCATCCCAGAATGATCAGGAAGGACCCAGACATATCTTTGACTGGTTCAAGAACTTCAACAAAACTGACAAGTCCCTAGCTAAACTGAACAAGGAGCAAAGAGGACAAAAATGCCCAGGATGAGAAATGGAAAAGGTGACGTCAGGCAGGGTTTACAAAATGAAGAGGATAATAAGGAAATTTTTTAGCTACGTAGTCAAAAAATTTGAGAACTTAGATAAAATGGACAAATTCCTTTAAAAAATATGAACTTCAGGGCCCTCCCTGGTGGCACAGCAGGTTAAAGCACAGCACTAAGAAGCTAAAGCCACTGCAGCATGAGTTCGATCCCCGCCCGCCCCGGAGGTGACCACATGGAGCGGCAGACCTCTCCTGACCCGCCTATTGCTTCCCTCAGCAGTGTGCTTCTTCCATCTGCCTGTTCTGCTCCCCACTCTGTCTCTGGTGAAGCCTCTCGCCGCCCCTGCACCTCTAGCCTATACCCCAGTTCTGTATGCATAAATAAATCTTTAAGAAAAAAAAATTCAAAATGGATAATTTTACACTATATGTACTTTCCCACAGTTGAAAAATAAGAAATAAATAGGTTAAATAACCCCCCCAAAATAATTTTTAAGTTTAAGGGTAACTGTAATTAACAACCTTCCCACAAGGCAACTCCAGGCCCAGTTAACAAGCTTCACTTATGGATTCTACCAAGCAGAAAGGAAAAATAGTATCAATTTTATACACATTCTTTCAGGAAATCAAAAAGAGATTGATTTTGTGAGGCCAGAATTACCTAGTATCAAAATATGACAAAGAAAAACATTATAGGAAAGGTATACACCAATATACCTGTTATGTGAAAATTCTAAAAATGTTAGCAGTGGCCTCTCTAGTGATGTAGGCATTAAAGCCTCAGCGCTATTGAGCTATTGTCAGCCACTACAGCACGAGTTCAACCCCCAGCCAGGGAGTGACCCACATGGCGCAGCAGACCTCTCCTGTCTCCCCACTGTTCCCCTCAGCAGTATGTGTCAGTAGATTCACCTGTTCTGTTCCTCACTCTGTCTCTGGAGAATCCCCTCACCCCCTGTACATCTAGCCTGCACCCCAGTTCTTATATGTATAAATAAATTAAAAAATTAAAAATTTAGCAAATCAAATTCAACAACATTATAAAAATATATTATGACCAAATGAGGTTTATCTAGGATGTGAGACTGATGTAACATCAAGTTGTTTCACCAGAAACAACTTGTAAGTTATTAACAGAATGATATATGACATCCATATGTGTTAGTGTAACATATACAGATAATATAGAAGAGAAACCATATGATCATTTCAATAAATGTAGAAAAAGCACCGGACAAAATCCAACATCCCTTCCTAATTAAAAAGTAAACTAGGGGGCCCTCCCTGGTAGCACAGCGGGTTAAAGCACAGCACTAAGAAGCTTAAGCCACTTCCGCATGAGTTCGATTCCCGCCTGCCCCGGAGGTGACCACACGGCGCGGCAGACCTCTCCTGACCCGGCAGACCTCTCCTGACCTGCCCGCTGCTCCCCTCAGCAGTGTACTTCGTTGATCTGCCTGTTCTGCTCCCCACTCTGTCTCTGGTGAATCCTCTCACCCTCCGCATCTCTGGCCTGTACCCCAGTTCTGTATGAATAAATAAATAAATCTTTTTTAAAAAAAAAAAAAGGAAACTAGGACTAGGAGGTAACTTCTTCCTCCTGATAAAACTATGAAAACAACCACAGCCAATGTTCTACTTAATGATGAAATGCTAAATGCTTCCCCCCAAGTGCAAAAACAAAGAGATTCACTCTCAATTTTATTCATCAGACAATAAAATTATGGCAAGAAGAGGAAGTAAGAAACATCCAGATTGGGAAAGAAGTAAAGCTGTCTTGAGTCACGCACGTTATTGTTCATGTAGAATGTCCTAAGGAATTTATTGTTATTTATTTATTTTGAAGATTTGTTTTATTTAATTATGCATACAAGAGCTGGAGGGGTAGGCCAGAGTTGCAGGGGAGTAGGGTTGGTAGTAAGAAGACTGACCAGAGACAGAGTGGGGAGGTCAGGTGAATCTACTGACACGGCTGCTGTGGGGAGCAGCGGGGAGACAGGAGAGGTCTGCTGGGCCCTGAGGGTCGGCTCCCTGGCTGGGGATGGAACTCCTGCTGCAGTAGCTGCGGACAGCTTCACAGTGCTGAGACTTAACCCCTTGTGCCCCGGGGGGGGGCAGGAATCTCTTTTTAAAAGCTAGAATAAAATTTTAAGATCGCTACAAGATACAAGATACATTCGTTTCTATATCTGGCAAGGAGAAATTGGAAATTGACATTCCACATACTGCAGAAAATCACTTGAGTCCCTGCTAGAACTCGCCAAGTGGGGCCCCGGCCCCCATGTTGTTGTGCAGCTCCCAGAGAACACTCTCCCACTCACACCCAGTTGTTCACTGAGAGGTTGGGACTGCCAAGGTGTTGACTCAATTTCCCAGGGGAATTTGTGAAACAAGGAAAGAAAGGCTGTGAGGCCAGAAGCCTGGGAGCAAGCGCTGGGATGGGAAGAGGCAGGGAGAGGACACCCAGGGAACCGGTGGTAGCTGCCCACCTGACCCAAGACCCCAGGGCCAGGCCAGAGCCAGGCAAGCGTGCCTCACCAGCCTCGGATAGCTCAAAGAGAGCAGCACAGCCTGACCCTTGTAGCAATCCTGGGGCAGTTCTCAGAGCCAAGGCTGACACTTCCTGCCTTACTTGTTCTCGAGGCCCAGCCGGCACCCAGCCTGCCCGCTAATGTGGCGGCTCCAACATCCACCCCCACCCAATACCTGGGGAGGGGAGCATGCACAGGCTGACCCCTCTTCCCAGTGCCCAGCAGATGGAAAAAAGCTCCAGTAATGACAGCAACCTCAGGCAGGGGCTGGGGGCCTCCCCCAGGCTCACAATCACAGGCCAGGGTCAGCATCCCCTCAGATCCAGCCCTGGGGTGAGAACCTTAGCCTGCAGTTGGGGATGGGTGACCCCCCCTGTGATGTATTGAAAGCCTGGAGGAGAGAGAAGGGACTCCAAGGTGGCCCGAGTTAAGAGAGTGGCGAATGGGCAGCCTGGCCAGAGGGAGTGGATAAAGGAGGAGAGGAGGGTTCAGCTGGGCTGTATTTTGGGGAACCCGCATAGTAACAAGACTCCTGCAGCAACGCAGAGCAGGGGAGTAAGTTTCGGGAGTCCAAAGAGCATTCAAAGCCTCAGCAATGACCAGCAGTGACCTCAGCAAATGCACCTGTCTCAATTGTTGTGTTCAATCAATGAGATTAAGCACCTTGAAGAGGGCAGGACAGGGAGGACAGGAGAGACAGGATGGGAACAGGCAGCAGAGGGCTGAGGAGGGGCCTGGGAGGGAGGGAGGGAGGGAGGGAGGGTGGGAGGGAGGGAGAGAGGAGGCGGCTGGAGCAGACCCCTCAGGACTGTTCCCCGAAGCTCCCTGCCCTCACCTCATTCTCCCCGCCAGGTATCACTGGATTTCCCTGCTGTGACAAGAAGTCGGTGAACATTGTGGAGACACAGTAAGAACCAGCCCCCATCATCAAAGACCCCGCCCTCCCCAGACCCCAGCCTTACCCCCTGCCCCTCCTGCAAGCCTTCATGTACCCCACCCAGGGTCTCCCTCCATCTTGCCCATTTCCAGAATCCCTCCCCCCAAGGGCATCAGACCTCCTGACTCTGCTTCCAGCCCCTGACCTGGGTGAGGACTGAGGGGTGGTGGGCACCCCAGGGACCTGGATGGGACCTGACCCCTGCAGGGGCCTTGCTCTGAGGATAGCGCTGTCCCAGTGCAACAGGGCAGGCACTGGGGAGAGGGTGGCACCCCCAAGCCCTGAGGGCAAGAGCGGAGATGGCCGCACCCTCCACATGGTCCTCCCTGCTCAGACCTGCCGGCTGGCCTTGGGGGGCCTGAGGGGAGGTTATGCTGGAGTTAAAAGCACATTCAAACCCTCAGCGATGACCTGGACCTCAGGCAGACCTACCTCATGCCAATTTTTGTGTCGAATCACAGAGGGCTTCTCCCTCTGCCAGGACACTGAGCTACATCAACTCGACTTGATAGAAATGAAGCTTCCCTGAGTGGGGGTAGTTCAGGGAAAGTTAGTGACTGGGGGGCGTCTTGCCAGGCGTTGTATCAGGCAAATGATCTAGGGTGCCCCAGGGACCCCGTCCCTCCTAGTCAGCCCCCCCATGGAGCCCTGTCACCCACTGTCTGTCTCCTGTGTTAAGGTGTAACATAATCCAGGACCAGTCACAAGAGGAAGATGAGCTGGAGGTAACTGCAAGTGGGGGGGGCCTCCGGGGAGGGGGGTCAGGCAGGGGCCAGTAGGAGGGAGGGAGCGAGGCAGGGGGCGAGGCGGGCAGGGCATTGGGGGCGAGGTGGGCAGGGAATTGGTGCCCAGAGGCCGGGCCGGCTGCCTCAGCTTTCAGTTGGAAACTTTTCAGCTGGAGACGGAACTGCTTGCGCTGGACAGCTCTTCCAGTGCATGCCTAGACCGCGACCCGGAGCCGGACAGGAGAACGACACCCAGGCCTGAGCCGCAGGCCGAGCCGGACACGGGGTCCTCGCTGCAGGGCGGCCCCAAAGAGCCTGAGCCGCAGGTGGACAGGACGGAATCCCTCCAGACCTCCATGGAGGAGCTGAGGCCGCAGGACGCGTGTCTGTGGGAGGTGGAGTCAAGCTCCACCGACCTGAGCGGGTCAGGGGAGGGCCGGCTGCCCACCAACCACCACTCCATCCATGTCCAGACCTCCAAGCACCTCTTCTGGGCCGACAAGCTCATCCAAACCTCCCAGGAGAGCGTGGAGAAGGCCATCCGCATGCACTTGGACAAGAAGAGCCTGGCCGCGGCCCCCAGACGCCCCGACCAGGCACGGGCCCCTGAGGATGCTCTGTCTGCTACGAAGCGGCTCAAGTCCCAGAGCGCCCAGGTGCTGGTTCCAGCCACAGAGCCCCAGCAGCCACCAAGCTGCTCCCCACCCCCTGGGCTGTCACCAGCCATCGGGCTGGCAGAGTTAGTCAATCTGGCAACTTCCCTGGCCATGGCCTCCTCCAACAAGAACTTGCCCAGTCTGGAGCTCAGGGTGCAAGGTGCGTCCAAGAAAGTCAGGGAGCGCCCCGCAGAGCTCCCGATGGAAGGTGCCGCGCAGCCGGCCACAGACCAGACCGAGCAGGAAAAGCTCGCTCAAGCGCTGCTAGAGAAACCACCAGAAGACAGACAGATGCAGAAAGGATGGGAGCAGGAGAACAAGAGCTTCCTCTACCCTTACTTTGACTTCAACCAGCCCGGGGTCGCGAGGACCACCTTTGAGGGGAAAGTGAAGCTTCTGCAGTCTCCAGTCTTGCTGGCACCACCACAGGAAACCAAACCAGAGTAAGTGGGGCTGGCTAGGCTGGGGTGAACGATCGGGCCACCCCCGCAGAGCCCAGACTGGACAGGGACAGCGGAGTGAAGGCTGAGAAGGGGCTGGGGTGGCCTGTCCTCCTCAGTGACCTCATGAAGGCAGCTGGAAAGAAGATTCTGGGGGCCCAAGGTCAGGGCCAAGGCCAGGGCCGGAGGAGGCCCAGGGGTCCTGCAGGGTGAGCACTGTCAAATGAGGGGCTCAGTGCAAAGTGGGAAGGGTCGCTCAAGGCCTAGGAAGCTCCTGAGCCAGAGGGTGGCTGGCCTCACCCTCCTGGGAGCTGCTCGGCCTTGTCCGTCCCGCTGGGAGCTGACAGTGAGCAGGGTCGTCCTGCGCACTTCCTTCCTGGTGAACGTCAGCACACACAGTCAGCTGCTGTTGGTCTTCCCATCCCAGAACCCCTCAGAAAGGCGTCTGGGATCACCCCTCTCCCAAGACCACCCCAAGGGGCCCAAGTGACACTCTCTCTTTTGTATTGCAGCTCGGTGCCGGCAACCAAGAAAGGGAGTCCATTATTGCTGAAAATCCATTTTAAGCTGTCAGCCCCCAGCCCCCCAGAGAAATGACTAGGAAAAAATCAGTAAAGCCTCCAGTGCTGGCCCCAGCTCAGACTTTCTGTGCACTCTTGGACCGACCAGTGAGCTCACCTGGCAGCGGCAGCCTAGGGCTACCTTAGTCCCACCTTCCCTCCCCGCCCCCCCCAGGCCTCTGTCACCTCGTTTGCCCCTGCTCACTCCCAGGAGGGCTTCATTTCTCTCTCACCCAGCCTGTCCTGTAAGCCAGCGCAGACTCATGACTAACCTGGGGGAGCTTCAGTGCACCCCTCCCCCCAGGCTGCAGTTCCTTGCATGGTGAAATGGGGCTAACGCCAGGATGAGCTGGGATCTTCTGCAGAGAAGTCAGCTGGGTGGGGGCTGGGGCAGGCGAGATGCAAGTCTGAAGGATCTTCCTGCTCCTCTCTGAGGGAAGGGCCCCTGGAAGCGATGCCTTTGGGGCTTGATGTGGGGGAGGATGAGGCCAGAGGACTAGCGCTCTGGGGCCCACAGCCCAGACGAGGGGAGAGCCATGTGTAACGGTGCATGCACACATGTCCACACATGCACACACGCACATGCCATCAGCTGCCCTACACAATGCACACGCAGGAAGCCCGTGCACAGCACACCAACCCGTGCCCAGCCCCAGAGCCTGTGACTCTGCCTTCCAGGCAGCGGAGAGACCGGGAGGTCCCCGTCAGCACAGACAACGTCCAGGTGACCGGGCGGGGGAGGGCCCACCACTACTGCCACTACTCTCTGGAAGAGAACTGTGGGTGCAGGCTGGGTGGGGGGGTCCCAGGAGGAGGCAGAGCTGTGCAACCAGAGGCCTGGCCCCAGGTGCCCTGGAATACGCTGGGTCGAGGGCAACCTCCCCCCCACTTCAAGGCCTCCACGGAAGCCTCGGAGACTGCTCACAAGAGACCAGCAGAGGAGCTGGCCGACGGGCCGAGGGAGAGGCGGCTGTAGCCACACGCTGCTCTGACCCAAGTGGGGCCAGCAGTGGCCATGGCCACAAAGGCTGAGCAGACCCTTCAAAGGGCAAGGGCCTTCAAGAGCCTGGCGGCTACCTTTTCAGTACAGCCGGATCCAGGTGCTACACCTCAAAGGTGAGGGCCAGACCTGGGTTGCTAAGTTGGGATAAGGTTGAGTTGGCCTGGTATCTCCCAGCAACAAGTACAAAGACCTTTCCAACCTTTCCCCTTCCCCCTGAGGCAGCTTTGCAGATGAGAACCTGCTACCTCTGACAGCCCGAAAGCTGGCAGGTGAGGACCCCAGGGCTGGGAACAGGGAAGAAAATTAGAACTATTAGCTGAATTTGGGGTCGCTGCCAGAAAGTGTGTGTGCGCTTGTGTGTGTATGTGTGTGTTGGGAAGGATGGATTGATAGGTAAGAAAATACTTAGATGGTGAACAGATGGATGGATAGATGGAGAGGATAAAAGGGGAGGATAACAAAGAAAGGAATGAGTTCTCCATGCTCAGGTTCTGGGACTGTGGGGGTAGGAATAGAAGAAAATACTTCTACATGCCCCCGAAAGACCATGCCCTGATATGGCCAGGGCCTCTCAAAGCAGAATCATTAACTTTCAGTGCCTGCCAGGTGGCAGCACTGCAAAGCACTAGAGCCCTGGGGCCGGCCGCCAGCGTCCAAAGCCCAGCATTGTCCCTCCTGGTGCTGTGGCCTTGGATATGGTTATGAATGTTCTTCATACAAACAGGTTCCGACATAAGCAGTGGATGTGAGAACCGAATGGCTTTTTTTTTTAAGATTTATTTATTTGTGCATACAGAACTGGGTACAGGCCAGAGGCTCAGAAGCGGCGAGAAGCTTCACCAGAGACAGAGTGGGGAGCAGAACAGGCAGATAGATGAAGTACACTGCTGAGGGGAGCAGCGGGCGGGTCAGGAGAGGTCTGCCACGCCATGTGGTCACCTCCGGGGCAGGCGGGAATCGAACTCATGCAGAAGAGGCTTTAGCTTCTCAGTGCAGTGCTTTAACCCGCTGCGCCACCAGGGAGGGCCCCAAATGGCTCTTAATGAGCAACCTCTATGCTTCACATTAAACGTTAAATGCCAGGGGTCAGAGTGACCCGAGTCCTCGGCCCCACCTGAGCTGGGGCAGATCGCAGCGCTGTGCCTCAGCTTGCTGCATGCCGCCCCGCCCCGCCCACGTCCCCAGCGTCCCAGGATGTCTTCAAACTGTTCAGCTCCGGCCCAGCAGACACTGGACATGCACAGCATGAACGCAGCCCTGCAGAATGTGGGTGCCCAGCTGAGCCCACAGAAGGTGTGTAAGGCTCTGTGGCAAGCAGATTTGGACAGTGGGCACCCCCATCCCTGCTCGCATCCTGTCCCATTTCTAGCCCCAAAGATGTGTCTCCTGCCCACATAAGACCTGGCCAAAATTCCCTTTCCATAAAGCCTGTCCTGATCAACATGTTGACCCAAAAGCCCCTCACTTTCTGCTGTGGGACTCCCCCAGATAAAGAGCCCTATCTCCCTCACTCAGAGTGGACATTTGGCTAAAAGCAGGACTAGGACCTCTAATGGCTGGAACTGCTAGCAAATCCCCACTTTCGTATGTCTGTAGGGGCAGGTTCCACAGCACCCACTCTCTTCACAGGTGACAGAGCTATAAGCCTCAGAGACTTCCTCACTGACAGCCACCACCTGGCTCTGTGCCTGGGTGAGCCGCCAGGCTGGTGGGACAGGAGTAGGCTGAGGGGGCTTCTCCTTCCCATCCCCCACGTCCTCTGTCCCCAGGTCAGGTGAGAGCAGGCAGGGAGAGTGGCCCCAGGGTCTGCAGCCCCTGTTCTTAGAGACGCTGGCGGATGGACGAGCCAGGGCGCTGTGCCATCGCAGTGGGTGCAGGAGGTGATGAAGTGAGCATATCCTGCCCAGCTTAAGGCCCAGGATGCGGGCAGCAGCCCTGCCCCCGCGGGGGTCCCCAGCCGTTCCTGCCCCGGGGATGGGAGCCTTGAGTTCTGGGTCAGCTTCCTGGGCCCCAATCGGCGCCTGGTCAGACATGTGACTTCCTGTCCTGCACTGGTTTCCTCATGCGATGCGTGAGATGGAGAGCACGGGAGTGGGGGGTGGCGGTGTCTGAGGTCACTGCCCCACTTCTTCAAGCTACTACTCCAAGAGGCAGCAGACTCTGTGGCTGCACCCAGGCTGGGGGCGCCCACGGCCGCGCCACGCGCACTCACGCAGGCCTCGCCTACTTCTGCCAGGCCACGCGCCTCAGCGGCCTCTCTGACCGGAGCTGGTGCTCTCGCTGCCTGTACAAAACGGGTGCGCTGGGCGCTCAGGGGGCCCGCGGGGAGCATGTCCCCACCCTCACCTCCACCCTCACCTCGGGCTCTTCAGGACCCACTCTCCCTCCTGCCCGCCTCCCCGGCCCAGGTATATGCAACCCCTATTCTCAGATACCTGTACTGGCCGAGAAGACGCAGCCAGATCACAGGATGCGAAACCGAGCTCCGGGGCCAGCAGTCAGACTTCCCAAGACCTACCAGCCCAGCTGCCCCACGCTCTGGGGGCCAGCAGCCGCGGCTCCGCCTAGGTGAACGCG